AAATCAGCCTGCCGACTAGTCAATTGGGATGTTACATAATAACAGTGGCACAACAGCAAACAATGCAATTGTTCACAAATCATATTCTGAAGTTTTTATGGATAAATTTCAAAATATCTACCTCAAAGCAATCAAGAAATGGCTAAATAATGTTGCAAAATGACTAACTTACACTCTGGTAGGAAGAATAGTTTTCAATTTTTTTAGTGGACAATGCTGCCAATCCTTCTGAACCAGGGTGGAAAATTTACCCACTCAATTTAATTCTCATCATGAATTGGTTAAGGAAATGAACAGCCTCTCCTCGGCCTCCCTGCATAACTGTATTTTGGAACATCAGTTGAAAACTCTCATCCAATAGTTCAGCCAATTTATCCCACAAGTAATGGAACCATATAAATTGAGAATTTGTCTATCTGTAGATTAGTTGATCTCAGAGGGAGTAGCAGTTGCTGTGCTACAGTTTGCTCCTGTCACCCAAGGTAGGAACAGGAAATTATTAGGTTCCTACTGCAGATCATTAACCAATGACTGGTGCTCAAAAAGTGAACGGACAGTTATCCAAGTACGGGTAGGATCACGTTTCACCACAATATTCCCTGTGATCAAATAATTTGCTGATAATTATTACCTAACCTAATATGACATTAGAAAAAGTGCCTGATAGCATTTGAAATCTCTGCAACTGGCAGAGTAAAGTTACTTCCCAACTCCAATCTGGTATTTTATCTATAAATGCTTACAGTAACAAAGCTCTCTCTTAGAAGTGCTAAGATCTATTTCAATTGTATTTCAAAATGCTTAAGAAAATTCATGACAAGGAATAATAGTATTCTGTATAATCGCTTCAGAAAATTAACTGGACTCAATCCAGCAACGTGCTCTGAAAAGCAGAATTGGTGTGGTGCATATCCTAATGTCAACCAATTTTGTAAGGCATTTCTTCAGAATAAAACATTATTTCAAACCGAGTAGCAATGAACAAAGAAGACTCCTCACCACATAACAGGATTTCATCCTTATATACTGAAATAAATTTCACAAATTTGGCCAGTGAGTTAAAAGTAGATTTTTATATGCCACTGCAGTACAGTATCAGATGATGTAGATAGCGAGAATGATGGCTGGTAACAAGGGAGATAGTGAGATTTCGAACTACGCTCGAAAAGCACAATGGAAAACTTCAAATTAATTAACATGATGAAATACAAAATCAGGTGTTTGCACATGCTAGCAAATAAGACAACTTGCCCTCCGTGTGACTCAAATCAAGCAAATAACGAAATGGGCCCATTATTCCTGTGTCCCACACAGCACAATCACTAGGAGCAGATGGTGACAGCTCCACCACTAGGTAGTAAATCATATGCCCTGTAACCTTGAGACAGACCACGGTGTGCACTTTTAATTGTGCCACCGAGATTAATAACTGGACGTACTCTCTAAACTATCCACCAAAAGAAATTGAACACAATAATAATTAAAACATATATAATTAAGATTAAAATAACTTAATTCTGAATGTCAAGTTTTAATACGTATTTGTCATTTATAAACTTCTTGCATTAAGGCATCTGGAATCCACGTCAAAACATACGGAAATACCAATACCCAGTTTTTCACATTAGTTTTCATTTCAGCTATCACTTAAATGTAAACAAATAAAAAAAACAAAAAATGTTAACAAAATATAGCAGTTTCTAGAAATCTGCAATAAAAAACTTAAAATTCTAGAGATACTCAACAGGTCCTCATCATCCATGGAAAGAGATACAGAGCTCATGCAAGGTATTTTACTGCTTTAATCTTTAGGGGTGGGGTGGGCATTTTCTGAGCCACCAAATGATCAGACCTTCCTGTTGCTCTTTCCTAGAGTCAACCAATTAACAGCCAACCTCCAGATTTGCATTCCAGTTAGGCGAGTTTTTGTGGTGTGTGGGAAGAGGTTGTCAATCTAATGCAGCAATGCAGGATATCTATTTAAAGAGGCTCAGCACTACTCAGATCCTTTATTACTGCATTAGATTGACATGCCTCTCCCACCCACCCCCATGAGCTACACTGTGCCAGGATAAGACTTTATCAACATGCAGCACTAGTTTGTCTTTCATTACCCATAGATGTATTGATGGCGATGCAACAAGAGATCAGGGAGGAAGAAAAGTAATCTTCAGAGGAAGACCGTCACATGAATCATGGAAAATCTTCCACCAGGACAGATGCACACACTTACAATTGTCCAGGATTAAAAATACAGAGTGAAGCACAGCATACGAGCAACTGTCGAAGTCAGGGAAGTGGGAGTGAGGGAGAGTCCCAGAGGACCACAGGATCCTTAGGAAGAGGCAAATGCTGATGAATTTAACCTGAGGATCATCACACTTTAAGAGAGGGATGAGATTGAGAAGGCAAGTCTGTCCCAGAGACTTCAGGTAACAAAGCAAGGGAGTACAAGTTGAATGGTAGGACATTAGGAAGTACAAAGGATCAAAGGGACCTTGATGTGCAGTCCATAGATTCTTGAAGGCAGCAGGACAGGTAGATAAGGTGGTTAAGGCGGCATATGGAATACTTGCATGTATTAGTCAAGGTATGGAATACAAGAACAAGGAGGCTATGATGGAACTGTATATAATGTTAGATAGGCCGCAGCTGGAGTACTGTGTGCAGTTCTAGTTGCAGTGCTATAAGAAGGATGTGATTGCAATAGAAAGTGTGCTGGGGAGGTTCACCGGGATGTTGTCTGGGTTCAGGTGATTTAGCTTTTCACCCAGAGCATTATGGGTATCTGGAACTCACTGCCTGAAAGAGTGGTAGGGGGTCCCACCCTCAAGCATTTCAAACACCATACAAGGTTACGGGCCAAGTGCTGGAAAATGAAATTAGAATAGATAGATGCTTGATGATTGGCATGTGCAGGATGGGCTGAAGGACCTTTTTCCACACTGTGGAAACTCTGTGACTCTAAAATAACTGAAGGCTGTGGTCACTTTGATAGGCTCGGGCAATGGGTATCTACTGGTGCCTCTTCCTTCGACAGAGAGCAGAGGTCTGTGACCACATGCTGTGGGAGTCGCTGGGGCACTGCGATGTAGAGAAGCCCAGGAAGCTGGCACGTAGCCCAGAGACCATGTATTGAGTGCAATACTTCTTTCGAGGTGCTGCCCTGTGGCTACCCCTTCTCTTCTATCCACATGCATATGGCTGTTTAGAATAGTATAGTTGCTGCTCCTCTTGAAGTTGCTGCCCCAGTTGTAGTGAATGTAGAGCTGGAACATGCTGCTTCTCTCTCTCAGTTCACACACCTTCAGGATATATCAATACACAATCTCAAAAATAGGACAGGGGCCACTTGTCCCTCAGGAGTGTCTAAGCCACTTCAAAGATGTGGTACCAAATTGCTATCCTCATACAAAATCCCAAGTTTAGCTTGAGGGACCTATTCCTTTCAGCACGAGCATCTGACTGCTCCTGACTTTAAATGCCATGCTAAGTGCCTCAATTGGATTCCTGCTACAGTGACAATTCAGCCTGGGAAAGGCACACTGGGATCCCAAAGTGATATTACTTCCTGCTATTCTTTTCTCATTCATTCATGGGATGTGGCAGCATTGGCTAGACCAGCATTTATTGACTATGCCTAATTTCCCAGAGGGCAGTTGAGAGGCAACCACATTGCTGTAGGTCTGGAGTCACATATAGGCCAGACCAGGTAAGGATGGTAGTTGCCTTCCCGAAAGGGCATTAGTAAAAATCCATCTGGTTCACAACAATCAGCAATGAATTCATGGTTATCGTCAGACTCTTAATTACAGATTTTTTTAAAATTGACTTCAAATTCCACCATCTGCCGTGATGGGATTCAAACGCAGGTCCCCAGAACCTTTTCTGATGAAGGGTCTAGGCCTGAAACGTCAGCCTTTCTGCTCCTATGATGCTGCTTAGCCTGCTGTGTTCATCCAGCTCTGCACCTTGTTGTTTCCCCAGAACATTTCCTGGGTCTCTGGATTAACAGTCTAGTGATAATACCACTAGGTCATCACCTCCCCTTTCCAACCACCAGTCTGGGAAAATTCATCTCCGTGTTTCAGCATGATAACTATTCATTATATGAAACTGAAAGGTTAACACCATTTCCCTATCCACAGTTGCTACTTGACCTGGTGAGGAATTGCAACATTTGTCTTCACTCAAGTGTGCCACCATTTTCCTCAATACATGCTGCTACTTATGCACACATTGCATCTATTCTTCAAGCTGTCAAAAAGATAGTTGATTACATAGAGCCTTGTTTTGTTTTAAACCTCTGCAAATAAACTGTGCACTGACTGGAGTTGATAGCTTGAGATGATACAGTACCTGCCACCATAAACTGAACCAACTGTCTGTCATGCAAGTTCCTGTTTCTCGACGGGAACAGGCTTTGGGGAGGGGGGAGGTCTCCCTCAGGACCTGATAACCTTGGCACATTTATGTAAGAGTCAGTTGGTTACATCCCATTTCATAGGAAGCCTTCATCCACCTCAATGCAACTTTCTAAGTGACACCTGCCCAGAAAACTGACTGATTCCTGAGGGGGCACATATGTCAGTTTGACAACTGCTGCTGCAAATTCACATTTTATAACTGTCTCCTATTCTTTGAAACATAAACATGCAGAGATATCGTCACAGGCACGAGTACAAACGCTTTCCTCAGAGTTGAGAGGAACATACAGAGCAGTAATATTGGGCGACTTGGGGGAACAATGAGACTGGAATATCAAAGGGGAGCGACATCATGTACGTTTAAATAAATAAATCCCGTGAGCTAGTCGAGGAGATTGCATAACGTCCGCGACAATACTGAATAATCCCAAATTGGAAGCTGCTCCTTTCAAAAGGTTTAGTGAACAGATGTAGCCCCAGACTTATGCCTGTCATGGTCTCCAACAGTACATGACACAGCAGATAATGCAGAGTGGACAAGTAGACAGGACAAGTACAAAGCCAGCACTTTACCTTCCCCGGGGAGCTCCGGTTACTGCCTGTGGGATGCTCTCTCGATGTTGTCCCCAAAGCTGTTGGAGCAGGACACGCTGCGCTACCCCCGGAGGAGAACAATACAGGGCCAGAGGTTGGGGTCGACCTCCCGTTCCTCGGCCTCTGTTTAATGCCGTCCAACAGCCTCACCAGCAGGATGTTAGCAGGCAGCTCGTCCACGCCGCAGTCCACCAGGATTCGGCACTCGGGGCACCGCAGCTCGTTCCTGGAGCTGACAATCTTCTCTAGGCAGCGCTTGCAGAAGGTGTGCTGACAGGGCAGCACCCTGGCAGTGGCGTCCAGTCTTTCCAAACACACCGAGCACTCCAGCAAGTCCAGCAGGGAAGACTCGTCCATCTTCAAGCATGGGTCAGGGGAGACGGGGTGGTGGAGGGGAAAGAGAACGGGGGACAATGCTCTCCCTTGCTTACATTACAGCCCCCCACCTAACCAGCTGTTGGCTGACACACTGCATTTCTTTTGGAAACAAGACTCAGAACCCAACAGCAGCAATAATACGCTGCATCTGTCTAACTGAGTGCAGGAAGCCAGCACATCTCCATCTCGGCCAGACACATCCCTGAAGCGCCCCCCCCATGCAGACAACCCCCTCTTGAACTCCCAGGTTCGAGCGCTCAGACCGTCCGGCTGCAACATAAATACAAATGGAAAGAGAAATGAAACAAAAGCATCTGACGTTCCTGTTCACCAACCGCTCCCCCCCCACCGCGCCCACCTCCCGAGGGGGATTAAAAAAACCAACCTCTTCCTAACACTTTCAGATCTGACCTGTTCCCCCCCGCCCCCGACCCCACTTCCACACTCTCCCAAAGTCCACGATTCACGTTAAAGTGTCCACCTTCAATATTGCCGAGAAGTTTGTGTCTGCATCAGAAGGGAAAACACAAGAGGATCGGGATAATCAAACAGCCGGTTCCCATTTCCAAGGCACTTGAACCCCTCCAGCGAATTGGGTTAATTCCGAAACGTTTGCCTCGCCTCCTCTCAATAAGACGGCAGATCCTTACAACAACACCGAGAGAACAGTTGCTATGCGAGGGAAAGTACTGCCCACGATCACAAGCTGGGAACCGCATCCAGCCGAGCACCCCCACTACCCCGCACCCCGAGCTGCTGGGACCTGCACGCTCGGTTCTAATTGGAAACAGGTCGGTGCGAGGACATAGCGATCCCGCTCACTTCAAACTACTTCAGCGGACTCGGCACTCCTGCAGCTGAGCAGGAAACGTATCCACAAAGCGGCTGTGAGGAGCAGTGCTCCCTTCAATCTGTCAATTTCTCTTCCTCCATCCCTACCTCCCCCCACCAAATCCCCCCGGTGCCCCCAGCCGCCGCCGGATCGATTCCTTCTCCCCAGCCCCGCAGACAGCGTCAGTGAGGGACGGAAATGCGTCCCAATCACACAGGCTGCAAAGGTGAGAGAACTGCTTGACCACGTCGCCCTCTTGAGGGGAGACTTCAGCTCTGCAAAGCAGCCACCTCCTCCTGTGCTCCAATTGGCACCGCACGCATACACACACATACACACAATCGGCGCTGAAATAGGTCCATGCGTTTGTTCATTCATTCATTCATGCATTCATTCATTCATCCATTCTCCAAATGTGGTGGACATTTTATCAACAGCAGCATTCTACACTAGAGACTGAGCAAATGAGTTGTGGATGTTAGCAGCTTTCTATTCCGTCAGATCTTGCTTTGTACCAGCTGGTCGGCTGTGTTAAGTATAACTTGGTGTGGGCTAGCATGGCGGGCTCTTACCACCTTTGTTTTACAAGAGTAGGCTGCGAAAGTGCAGAATTTGCAGACTTCTGTTTCTTTTTCGGGGGGGAGGGAAAGCTCTTCTGGTTTTACTCTGGTCATTTCGAGGATTCTGCTCACCTCGGGATGCTCTTCAAAACAGGCAGCATCAAAACAGGTCACGGCCAACAGTGACTGTCACACAATAGCACGGGGTATCGATGTCCAGGAACTGATGATTCAGTGACCAGTTCACAGTAAGGAAGTTATTTGGGTACGTGGTACAAACAAAAATAGAATTTGTTGAAAAAACGCAGAAGATCTAGCAGCATCTATGATGAGAAAACAGAGAAACGTTTCAAGATCCTTCCTCAGAAAGGGAAGCAGTTAGGAAAAGCTGGTATTAACGCTGAAGGTGTGGGGAAAAAAAGAAGTGAGTGGATAGTTGGAGAGGGAGCCCAGAGAGAGAGAGACAGAGGGAGAGAGAGAGAGAGAAAAGGATAGGTAAAGAAAGGGATTGCTGACAGTAAATCAGGAAATAGAAGCTAGATAGCTGATAATGAGGACTATGAGAAGTTGAATATGGGTTATCCATACTGAAAGCAACCCTTTTCATGACAGGACCTAGTGTTGTGGAGACAGATAATGGACAAAGAATGGACTGTTCAAACAATAATTAAACTTGATGTTGATTTCTGAAAGCTGTAAGGTTGCTAGGTGGAAGGCTCCTCCAATTTGCATTGAACTTTGCTGGAACACTACCTGAGACAGAAATGTTAGCATAGGAATACGGTGGTGTATTGAAGTGGCAGGCAGGAAATTCTGTCATTTTCACAAATGCAGAGACGGTGTTCAACAAAGTGGCCACCCAGTCTGCATTTTGTCTCCCCAGTGTACAGGAGAGCACATTGTGAGCAGTGAATACAGTAAACTAGATTGAGCAAAGCGCAAGTGAATCACTGCTTTACATGGGGGGTGTGTTTGGGCCCTTGGATACTGAGGAGGAAGGAAGTAAACCAGCAAGTATTACACCTTCTGCAGAGGAAGGTGCAATGGGATTGTGTGGGGGGGGGGGGGGGGGGGGGGGGGGGAAGGTGTTGGGAATGAAGGAGGAGTGAACCAGTGTGTCCAGGAGGGAACGGTTCCAGTGGAAGGCTAACAAGGGTGGGAGGGGGTGAATACGTATCTAGTTGTAGCATCCTGCTTGAGGTGGTGGAAATGGCGGCTTAGAATCCTTTGGATGAGGATTTTTGTGGAGTGGTAAGCAAGGGCAATGGGGTACCCTATTGTTGTTGAGAGAGGGAAGGGAAGGGAAGGGGTGAGGGCAGAAGTGCACGAAATGGGTCAGATCTGGCTGAGAACCTTGTCAACCACTATAACAGGGAATCCTCGTTTTGGGAAAAGATGGATATTTCAGAGGCCCCTTGCCAAAGTTGGCATAATCAGAACAGATGTGATGGAGACAGAGGAACTGGGAGAATGGAATGAAGTTTTACAGGAAGCAGGGTGTGAAGATGTATCGTCCAGATAACTGTGGGAGTAAGTGGGTTTGTAATGAATACTGGTGTCCTGCCTATCGCCAGAAATGGAAGTAGAAATGTCAAGGAATGGTAGGGAGGAGTCAGAGATGGATGGATCAGGTGAAAGTGAGGAAGGGAGAGAAATTGGAAGTAAAATTGACGAAGTTTTCCAATTCCAGATGAGAGAGGGAAGCAGTACTAATGATGTCATCGATGCACTGGAGAAAGAGTTGTGTGGAGGGATGCAAGTCAGACTGGAACGAGGAATGTTTAATATACCCCACAGAGACAAGCATAACTGGGACCCATACAGAGCAACACCTTTGATCTGAAGAAATTGCGAGGAGTTAAAGAAGTTATTCAAAGTGACAGCATATAACTTACACTAGTGTTACATCCATCTCTGCAACTGTTTATGCAGATGGTGATGACCTACCCTGGCTTTATTTTTAATCGATCCATTTCCTTTGCTAATGTACCTGTTACCTTTTGATGCCTGCATACATGCCCCTGACGTTTTCGGTGTCAAAGGACAACTGACATTGAGGTTGGTTGGCTCGCCGAGCTGGTTTGTCGTTCCGCAGATGTTTCGTTACCGTGCTTGGTAACATCCTCAGTGCAGCCTCTGATGAAGCGTCGGTGTGTTTTCCCGTCTGGTTTTTAAACTCTGGGGTCCGTTGCGATGGATTATCTCACCTCCCGGTTTCCTCCGTAGTGGAATGTATATGGGGTCGAGTTCAATGTGTTTATTAATAGCATGCTTCGTGGAGTGCCATGCT